AAACAGGAAAAATATAAAGTTCCATTGACACGCCCACAAAGGAAATCTTTGATCTAGACCAGCATTTAACAACAACAATGGAAAGGCGAGTGAGGTCAATATCATAAAATAGTAAGAATAAAATATAAAAAAAATTTCGAAACAAGGCAATGAAGAGATCAAGTGCGCGAATGAGGTATGAAGTCAATGAGAGACCGAATAATTGGTTAAGTGGTAGGGCAGATAGAGTTTACATATATATAGAGTTCAATGTTTTCTTTTCTTGCCTAATGATCGCAAGCAATATAGTCTGCAAGGTGAGTGGCAAGCGCGCGGGTACGACCGACCGAAGTATGACTAATTTTACGGATTTTTTTTATGAAAAAGGTTGCCACTGCTTTTTTCTTACTTGAATTGAAAATGAAGGTGTCGTTGAAGGCACTAATTGCGTTGGACAACTAGTGGCTTTCTCTATGATTGATCTGCCGGCTGAAGTGGAAATTTTAATGCGGAAATACGTACGGTCGCAGATGACAAAAGTTTGGAAAATTACCGCCGACTCAAAGTTTAAAAATAAAAAAAAAAAGAAATCAATCCTTTGATTGAATAACAAATCTTGTTCGAAAAAGAAGCTTCAAATGATCTTTAAAGCTTTCTTCTTCTTCTTTATTGGCGTAGACACCGCTTACGCGTTTATAGCCGAGCATAAACTTTTAAAACTTTACTATATGTAGGTTAATCTAGCTCGCAAAAAGTCTACCGAATTTAGTATCGACCTGCTATGAAAGCTGTATTAAGCTTAGAAATACTGATGAAAAAAGCTTGATGAGGCAAAATGCATGTGCTATCCAGTTTTTATAAAAAATCTACAATAATAAATGTTTGAGAGTTTTTCTGCGTTCGGAAAGTCTCGAAGGTCCATAATATATGACTCAAATTGGAATTTAATATCACAAAAAATTTTATCAAAAGATCAATAATTTGAGGCCAATTGAGTCATAAAAATTGTTTTCGAATTAATTTGGCTAAAGCGCCACCTATCTAGAAATTCTCTAAGTTTCTTTTAGATAGATTGGAGAGATAATTTTCAAGTTGGAGCTCAAACTATTTCTTTATCTCTGCTGAATTGCATGTATCAAGCCATAATAAATGTGAAATTAATGATTAAGTGCGTGTTGAAAGTAATTGTAATGGTGGTGGTAATGTAATGGTAAAAGTAATGATTAAACAATAAAGATTAAATTCAAAATTAAAAAAATTGTGAAGGTAAAGGGAAATGCAGAGGTAATCATAAAGAGTAATGTTTGTATTAAGAATTCATGCTGATTACCATTTAACACTTGACAAATACTCTGTTTTATCTAGTTTTTCTTAATTAAAAGTAAATTTCTGCTCAAAGCTATTACCAAGTTCATTACTTTACGCTTTCGCACTTCTCTGCAGACACGTTTACTGTACTTGTGCGTATAATTTGATGATCAATCGCATTAGTCGCGCGGCCGCCACAGCGTGTAATTAGTTTGCAAACCATTAAATTTATGGCTCAATTGAAATGATTTCGTTCCATTTGTCTTGCAATTTCAATCTATTTCGCCAATGTAAATAAAGTGTTTGAATGATTCGCATAAATTCAAATGCTATTTACTTTCATTTTTGCGCTTTGCTTGCATGGAAAGTGTGTGAAATTGCTTGCATTAGTTACGGTAGCAAATTGGCAACACTTTTAATATTCAGGGGCACATTAAATTTCCATGGCCTTTTTTTAAACCTCAATTTTTTTTAATTGAATTTACTTATTCTTTTCACCGGTCCAGTATTTTTCCAAGATGTCATTTAACTAATTGGCTTTACTTTCATCACTGTGGCCACGCCAAATTTATAGTTTGAGTAATGAATAGTGAAGTATTTTGTATTTGTTATTTTTTTTTCAATTTGAATAATTTTTTAAGCTCTGAAAAGCTTATTCTAGGTCTGGCGTTACAAGTGTTTTCAAAGCTCACAGAGCAAGCTTTCGATTTTAAGTTTTTTGTAAATAAAGGAGTCGTGCTCTTGCGATATTTCAAAGCTTCCTAAAAGCAACACATTGCAATTAATTTCTTTAAAAATTTTATGCTCTAAAAAGCTTTTTCTTGATTAATTTCTTAAAAAAATTTTAAGTTATAAAAGGGTTTTCCTAGATCTCAGTGTAAGCTTTTTTTAACTTTTCGGCAGAACAGAATCCATGATTTTGCCATTTTTAAAAGCTTATTGTACTTTAAATGGTTTTTATGATGCAAGTGAAGAGAGCTTTCACCGATTGCACGAAGATTCTTTAAAATATAATCGCATTATAAGCCATATAAAAATTAAAATATTCTAGAGTTTTCTAAGCTTTTATGAAAATCTCTTGAGAGATTACTGTTCCAACCTTAAGCTTGACGTTATGTTCATTTTCTTGAAATATTGAAGGTTTTCAATAACTGTAGAAAGATGGGCTTAGAGAGCTTTCAGCATGATGCATTAAAAAACTGAAGTTTAATGTACTTAAAAACCTTATAGTGTTTTCACATAACTTTAGAAAATATTTCAGAAAATTCAGCAAAATCCTCTTAAACATTTTTGAGATGAATAGCTGATTTTTAGGTTTCGGAACGCTTTGGAAAATCTTTTTGGTAAGTAAGCAATATCTACATACACATATATAGATTTTACATTATATATTTTAAAGCTTTCATCGATCACTTAAATTCTGCATTGAAAAAATTATATTGTATTAAGGGCTTTCAAAGCTTGTCTTTAGTAAAACATTTTTTAACGAACTTGAGCTTTAATGTCATAAAAAGGCTTATAGTGAGATATGAAATAAAGCTCAAAAAAGTTCAGAAAAGCTGAACACGCTTAAAAGCTTTTGACTTGAAGACCTGCTTCTGCGGTTGTAGACAGCTTTTGAGAGCTCTTTTTATAAAAAATTACCATACAGCTTTTATATATTTTTAAGGAATTCTTCAATCATTTGAACACTGCATTGGAAAATATGTTAAGCGTTTTTAAAAGCTTTGCTTCAATAAACGATTTTTCATGAAATTGAGCTTTAACGTAATAAAAACATTATAGTGATTTTAAATTAAGCTTAAAAAAGTTCGAAAAGCTGCCAAGAAGTTTTGTTTTGACTTAAAGACCTGCTTTTCAGGTTGTAAACCGCGTTTGATGTTTTTTTAGTAGAAATAGCCCATATAACTTTTACATAGATTTTTTTTGCAGCTTTCTGTGATCAGCATCGGAAACCTGCGTTGATAACTTTCAGAGCTTTTGCTTGTGTAAAAACTTTTTAAGAAACTAATGTAAATAAAATTATTAAGTAGTTTCAAATTAAGCTCAAAAAGTTCAAAAAATCTGCAACATATTCTTAAAAGCTTTTTAATTGAAGAGCTGCTTTTCTTGTTTCGGGCTGCCTCTGAGAGCTTTTTTCGTTATATATTTTCTTACAAAGTAAAATAAAAGACATTTCCTTAAGATATTTTTTATAAAGTTTCGCTTTATTTATTTTTCAAATTTATTTTTAAGTATTAGCTTCACCTATTACAGTTCCATCTACGCTTTATAAAATTTAAGTAATCTCTACTATTTTTTTATATGTATGTGTGTCTGGAAGGCAACTTCATGCCTGTTGGAGTGCGCATGTATATTTCGTGGTTTGTTGTTTTTTCATTAAAAATTATGAATTTTATTACCTGTTCCTGTTTTCAAACAAAAAATATTTAATCGATTATAATTTGATGTTTGTTGTTGTTTCATATATTAAACTTATTTACAAACTTATAAAAAAGCTTTAAGCAATATGCAAAATATAATGATAAAGTGATATTGACACCTTCTTGTAATTTAAGCTTTTATAGGTTAAGTTTTAAAATTTGCTAAAATTCTTAAAAAAGTGTTTTTCGACTTTTTTTGCTTCATAAATGCAATATAAATAAGCACAGTTTTTTTTATTGTGTAGTTTTTATTTATTTATTTTAGTCATTAAATATAAATTAGTTAAATATTAAATACAATTAAATAAATAAACGCGAGAGTAAAAGTACAAAGTCTGCATAAACATTAAAAATTAAATATTTTTTGTTATTTTTTAGTCAAAGCTGCAATCTCTATAAGTAGGTTCCGTAATATGTGTATATTTTGGTTTACGGAACCTCATAGAAAGTGCGCCTTGTTGCTAAATAGTTAAGCTTTAGATAAATACTAAAAAAAATATTAAAGATAAAGAGATACGCTTTCGTTGGTAGTGTTGAAATATTGCTGACGTGTAAAAAGAAACCGATTTTGGCTGCAAAAAGTACAGCCAGAGCTTTCGTGAAAGCTTTCCTATACAGCATAGCTGAGCTTTCAACGGCATGAATGTTGAAATTGGCATGCGTAATTGAAAATAACTGCCGGGTTTGGAGTATTGCTTTGGTAGAACTTTCACTAATAAGAAGCAGAAGCTTTTCACTCTGATGAACGAATATAATCAAAAGTTGTATTCTTTAAAGCATTCAGCTAGACAAATGCATATGGTCCTACATTCAGCGCTTTACACACTCCTTTTTTAAATAAAATTAAAAATTTCCGATAACTTTTGAGCTTTAGAGCTTCCAGAAGCTTTTGTTGATATTTATATTATCTAAGTCAGAGATAATCAATACTAAAGTTTTCATTGAAATTTATAGCCTTAGTTAGACCCAGCTCAGCTGAGTGCTTTACAAAGCTCTAATTTTGGTGAGCTTTTACTTAGAAATGATGTTTATATCTTATACCTACATTGCGGTTAATGCATATAAATATAATATGGAATAAATAATTTTCAGCTTATTTAAAAAGCTCATCTATTTATTAGCGAAAAAAGTTCTGACTGCAGCTTAAAAAGCTCTAATAAGCATCATAAGCTCTTCAAAGAATTTAAGAATATATTGCAGTTTTCGGTTTCGTTGTATAAGTAGCGCAAGTGCGGTGTTCGAAAGCTCCATCCACTTCTTAAAGCTTCTAAAGCACGTTCAATCTTTCAGTTACTCAATCGATAGCTTAAATTTCGTGGAACATATAAGGTGAGAGTGCAGTGTATATATGTATGTATGTAGGATTGAAGTATTATAATTAAGACTAACATTTTAAATAAAAGCTCTATTCCACTGAGCTTTTATGCATAAGTACTTCTATATGTTAAAACTAAAACTATGATACGCATACAGTTTATTACTTATTATTGCATAATTCCTTGCGTGCCATTAGGCCTATTCTACCCCTCTAGAGAAATTGCGAAGCTTATGTAAACTTTCAAACTTTCCCGCTACCACCAAGCCAGCTTTTCGTTTTAGACTCTTGCTAAACTTAATATTATGAAATGCATTATTCTTTGTTTAATTTTAAACTTAAATTACTAGCTTGAAACTTTTTTGTAAAAGCTTTTTGCGAGCTTTTTTTCTAAAAACTTATTTTTCGTAAATTTTTTGTTGTAATATCATTTCTTGCATAACATTAAATTACTTTTCTGATTTAGTCCGATACCCCTGTGTTCAATTTAATTTTTCTTGCTTACTTTAGAGTTTCTTCTGTTCACTTTTTCGTAAATTTATATGTGTAAGTGTGTTTTTGTGTTGCTTAACATTTTCTTTATGCTACAATCTTATGAGGTTGCATCCATTTTTTCATATAATAACAGAACAATGTCGAAATGTAGAGCAGAATCATCAGCGCACATGTGACGGCCAGCGCCAAAACGGAGGTCTTCGTGGGGCAGGGCTCAATGATGGTGACAGTCTTATCTGTGGTGGAGAAAAGAGAGAGAGCGGCACAAAAACAAAGGGTGGGTGAGGTAGAAAAGCGGTAAGAGAGTTGCGAGATAAGGAGAAAACGGGGGAGAAAGAAATCGCAAAAAGGGTGAAAGTGAGGATGAGAGAAAAATCAATGTCACATAAAGCTGCGCAAGTTTATGAAAGCACAATTTACCTTTGGCAAAGTCTGTGCTGGGATCTGCCTTGAAGAATTCACGCTTCTCGTCGCCAAAGTCCAGGACTAGAATCTCTTGCGAGATATTCATATCATCATCAGCCTCCTTAGTCTCGTTGCTAACGATAGAGAAATAGAACGAACAAATAACCTAAAGGGCCTAAAAGAAGAGAAAGCGCGGCGCACTCACCCCTCGATAGCGCGACGACGACGTCTTCTACCCAACGACTCGAAGGATTCCATATTCCATTCGCACACAGCCGGTTCGCAAGGACCCAAACAATATTTAACATTGCATTGGAAGATAACACCGTAGCTCTCGGTGAAACGGAAGGCCTCATAAGTCGATTGCAATGCATTGCCGTCAGCAGTGAAACCAGGAAAGATGGTTGGGTCAGTGGGACAGCCATCATCATCAATGATTTTGAAGCTGGTGCGTGCATCCTTAGCCATCGCGACGCAAGAACGCGCAAAGATACCATAGGGAGCTTGAGCAAAATCAAATGGGAGTAAAGGGTAAAATTAAACCAATTATTAGTTGACATTCGGCGCGCTTTGCCAAGCAAGTCGTTTCGCTTACTGTCTTCGGGTATTTCAATACGGAAGTTGAGACGATCACCGATGCGTACGGTCTCCACTTCACGTTGACGTGTGTCCAGTATGCGAATCCTTGGTGGTGGTGCCTCAGGCGATGAGTTGATGTGGATCATTTCTGGATCGCGTATGGGCATCATGCCGAAGGTGATGTTCTTCGAACTCATATCGTAGGTGCATTTAACTTTGTAGATCTTATCGGCCTTGGTCATGACAACGCTGTGATGCTGGAGTACGACAGTATTCGAATAGACGCCGGTCTAAAATAGAGAAACGATGTGGTCTTGGGGGTTAGATAGGGTTTGAATAAAACGGGGGGGAGAACAAATTCACAAAAAATAGGGTTCATAAAAAAATGAATAAATATACAAAAACTCTAAAAACCACCGAAGGATAGAAGACGGAGCAGGGTCACCAACATAAAGCGACGGTAGAGTCAAGGTAGATTGAAACTCGGCACAGCAACGCAAAACGACGGTAGAATCGAGGCAGAGGCAGAGAATCGACCTTGAGTCATAAGTATGTCCCACACTCATAGCGCATTTATACAGAGCTGCAACTGTACTGGCTTCAAATTTTGAGACCAGTCTTTCATGAAGACTCTTTGTTGGGTACCGCTTTCGTCTTATAAAAATATAATGCATAATAATAAGAAAAAAATTTATTTGACTTACCACACTTTGCGTATTACAGTCTTGTCCAGCCATGGTCAGATCCAATCGGAACGCATCCGAGTTGATGACGTCGATATTACAAGTCTCCGAACGTCCCAGAGCATAGATACGACCATTGAACGGTTTGTTGGTGCGGACCTGTACAGCGATGCGGGTGTCTTTGCAGTGTACAGAGACTGTGGAAAGCAAAAAAGGACGAAAAAAACAAAAAAGTGGGAAATGGGGTTAGTAAAACGAATTTTCGGTAGACTGTGCTTCAAATGAGCTCACTAAATCCTCGATGCCAAGAAAGTAAAATCAGGTATGATACACTTTCATGAATAGAGGGTTTTGTGGGATCTCCCAAGATTTCGAAACCTGATTCGGAGAACCCTTTACTTATATTCTTACTCACCATCGTAACAGGTGCCAGTCTTATCGCAGTTGACATCATTTCTGGTGATGTTGGTCAAGTTAGGATCTTCGGTAGTGTCTAGACTGACAGGCAGTGTGTCCAACTTGTCTAAAGTGCCGGGCGGTGAGGTGGTCTTCTCGCAAGCATTTTCAAAGTATTGGCCAATGGGTTCACCGTGATCGATCAGTGGACGCTCATGGTTCAGATAAGTTGAGGGACCGTCGGGCAGTGTCTTATGGTCCAAGTGGAACAAGCGGCAGTTGTACTGTGAACCCTGTGGCTGACCGAGATACAGGAATGAGCGACACAGGAACTCTGTTTCGATTTCACAGGCCAAACGGCAAGCAGATTCTGAAGTCACTTGCAATTCCTTGTCGGTATAGTAATGCAGACCAACATATTGAGCCACCTTCTCCTCAGACACACCCACGCGCGCAACGGCAAATGAACGATTATTCTTACAGGCCTGCGCCGGCTTCAAGCACAAGTTCTCAAAGTAGTCGGTGCCTTGCGCATCGACCAGCTGCACAAATTGGCCCGAGCTACGTCTATCCGAATCGCTCAAGACACATTTCATATTATTGTAATCATATTCGACCGAGCGACAAACGAAACGTTTCTCATTTAAGCAAGCCGACAAGCAGGCCTCCTTGGTGCTGGTGTAGATGAGCGCATTATCGAGACCGCGTATAATCTTATTGGGTACACGCTCGAACGCCCACGGCCGATGGCAGACATTTTCGCTGCGCAGCTGCAATTTCACCATGTAATACATGTTGGCGGAGCGTTGTGGCGCCGCGGACGGATTGTGTGCCGACGAATCGTTCTGCAGTTGACAGTGTGTCTCCTGCGAGGGCGACAATGGATTGACGACAAAACTGAATGCGGCCGCCTGACAATCGGCCTCCTCACGACACCAGCCCTGACACTCGTACAGCGAGAGATTCTTCACGCTGTAGTATGTGGTGCCGGCAAAATCGAAGTCTGTGAGTTTCTCGAAGGCCATGCGCGCCGCACCGGGACTGGGCAGCAGCGCGATGGCTAGGCAGAGGGCGAGCACAAAGCGCAGATTAGCGGACGGCGTTGTCCAGCCGGACATGATTGCTGCGGTTTGACGGTGTACTAATCGCATCTGTAAAGACAAGAAGAATGGGTGTAAGTGTAAATGTGATGCGGTGCGGTGCGGTGCGGCGCTGACGTAATATTTATTAATAGAAAAACTAATCTAAAAAATAGGAATTTATCGCAAGACTCTACGCTTGTAGCCTTCTTTCAGCTTCAGTGAAGTTGTGAGCGTGTAACGTTATGTGAAATTAATTTAGCGGCAATAAAATGTAGATTTACACTTTGGGAAAATTAGCTGAGACAGCATTGATCTTTAAATGTGGTCGCCGTATAAATTTTAAACTTGAATGCACATCGGTCGCGTTGTTATGCTTCAAAGAATACCTATGTTCATTATGCGGTGAGAGTGTGAGAAATTGTTGTAATAAGAAAAAGGCAATGAACTGGTGAAAAAAGTAATAAAACGCTAAATTCAATCTCGGAGCTGGCGGGAAAGGAAAATACCATAAAATTTGAAAAATCGGCAAAAAAAAAAAAATTAATTCAAAAATTAAATTAAGAAATATTGGAAAATAAAAATGATTAATATTTAAATAATTTTGT